CTTAAAAGTTTCAATCAACAATCTAAGACAAATCTGTTGGTCCTATCACGTTAGAAGCAAAGGAGAATGAAGAAAATCAAAGGCACAAGGAAAATATTAGTCCAAAGGTCCAATGGACCACATGAACCGCAGCCTCCACCAGACTGAGTCCGGAAGAATGACATGGTGACTGGCTACCACCTACCACTCTGACAGGGATCACAAAAGAGGGTCCTGGACAGAGCGGGAGAAAATGTAGGACAAAATTCAAATTCACAAAAAAAGACCAGACTTACTGGTCTGACAGAGACTGGAGGAACCCCAAGACTATGGCTCCTGGACAACCTGCTAACTCAGCACTGAAGCCACTTCTGAAGTCCACCTTTCAGCCAAAGATTAGACAGGCCTATAAAACAAACAATAACACACGTGAGGAACGCGCTTCTTCGTTCACTCGGGTGTATGAAACCAAATGGGCAACTCCTGCTGAAAAACAAAGCTGAGAAGGCCGGAAGGGACAGGAAACCTGGATGAACAGACACGGGGAACCCAGGGTGGAAAGGGAAATGGGGAGAGTGCTCACACATTGCGGGGATTGCAACCCACATCACAGAACAATTTGTGTATGAAATTTTTGAATGAAAAACTAATTTGTGCTGTAAACTGTCACCTCAAGTACAATTAAAAAAGAAAAAAACTTGGCAAGAAAGAGCACCAACTCAAACACATTTCAGAAATCAGATTTTGCTTATTCAATCTCTCCTCTACCCACAGCCATCCACCATTACCACAGTGCCAAGTGGCTTCTGCTCATCGGGTGAGGAAGTGACATAGATTGGGCTCAAACAGACCTCACTTTAAACCGCTCAGTCTTTTCACCAGCACTACTGGGCCCTGGTATGGATTGAGTTGTGCTCCCCCAAAATGTGCTGTAAATCCTAACCCCAACACCTGTGGAGCTAATCCCATTTGGGATTAGGACTTTGTTAGTGAGGCCAGATCAGCGTAGGGTGTGTCTTCAGGCAGTCATCGTTGAGATACAAAAAAGAGCAGATCAGGTACATGAGATATAAAAAAGAGCAGATCAGGTACAGAGAAAGCTGTCAAGTTGATTCTATTTCGACTCACAGAGACTCTACAGGACAGAGTAGAACTGCCCCCATAGGTTTTCCAAGGAACAGCTGGTGGATTCGAACTGCTGACCCTTTAGTTAGCAGCTGTAACTCTTTACCCACTGTGCCACCAGGGCTCCAGTTACAGAGAAGGAAGCATAAGTGGAGGGGAAGGTACACCATGCCACATGAAGATCACCAAGGAACCGAGGAACAGAAGCTGAAAAGAGACACGGACCGTCCCTCAGGGGTGACCCATAACCCAGTGCCATTGAGTCAATTCCAACTCATAGCAGTCCTACAAGACAGAGTAGAACTGCTCCACAGGGCTTGGGAGGCTGTAAATCTTTAAGGAAGCCGACCGCTGGTGGAGTATCTGGTGGGTTGGAACTGTTGATCTTCCAGCTGGCAGAGAAATGCTTTAACCACTGCACCCCCAGGTCGCCTCTCCAGAGCTGACCGAGAGAAAACCTTCCCTTAGAGCTAGCACCCTGAATTCAGACTTCCAGCCTTCTGTGAGAAAATAAATTTCTGTTATAGCAGCACTAAGAAACTAAGACCCTGAGACTAGCTGAATATAAGAATTCTTGTGACAAAGCTTTTAGGTTTTTTTTTTTCCTCTTTATTTGTATGGATAAAATGCAACATACAAAAAAAAAATGCAACATACACATTCTAATTAACAATGAAAATTGATGGGACGAAAGAATATTAACTTTCGAGATGGGAGAAAACATACAAATATTGGCTTTATCTATGACATTATATGATTTTTCAATCAAAGTACACAATGTAGAAAATAGTTGGAAAATGCCAGAAAGAAAAGATGTTATCTTTACATTGAGAGGTCTGGTGTGTGTTTGTGTAAAACTGTTGAAAATGCTTGAAAGAAACATTTTCATTCCATGCCATATTATTATTTATGGAAAACAGCTGAAAAATGCTTCTCATAAGATAGGAACTACTTAATCCCATAATTATTCTTTCCAGGCAAGTAATACATTTGTGAGAAACAGTTCAAATGTGCGTGAAAGAAAGAAGAGACATTATGATCTCATGTTAGTCTTCAGCTGAGGGCAATATGTGGAAAGCAGCTGAAAAATGCCTGGAGGAAAAGATGAATATTAATGCCTACACTTGCAAATCTACATCTAACATAGTTAATGGTTAAAAACACAAGACAATGACGAAGGGACACAGATTCTCTCGGAGTAGCTCAGATCACAGTTACAAAGTATTTTTAGTTACAAAGATTTTGCTAGAAATATTTTACATCATTAAATGGATATTATTAGATGTACATTGAAAGCTAACTGAAGTGACTTAAATATTAAGACTCAGCAACAGATTTTAACAAAAATTGTTTAAGCCCATCAGATTTTTCCCAAGAAAGGCAAGTGAGGTAGTTTTTACTGTATATACATCGTAAAGAAATTAACATTCCAGTTTGTTCAAAGAGCACTGACTCCAAGAATCATATCCCTAAGTGAGCGGCAGAATCAAGAGAAGAAATGAGCCAGCTTTAGGAATTTTGCTGAATAAGTCCTCCTAAAATGTGAACTTCCTCTATTCCTTTCCTGGATGCTTGTACTCTTTCCCTAACTGTACATCAAGAGTCCTCGGGATGGGGCAGGGTGAGAAGCTATTAAGAAGAGGATTTAGAGACTTGGTATCTGATTCATCTTTTGTTTGCAAACACACAGCTCACTTTTACAGACTCATGACTGAACTCTTTAAAGCAACTCTTTGACAACACAGAGTTTTTCCATAGTTAGGGGACGGGCATTTTCAAATTTCACTTGTAGAGGTCTGCTTATTCTTTACAAGAATAAAATCCGTTACTAACCGTTCAAATATTAGCACTATGTGACAATGAAATTCCTCTCTAGTCAGTTACTCTTAGAATAAAAGTTAAATCCAATGATTCTGGTATTGACACAAGGCTTTTCATATTTCATAGATATCTGAAAGTTGTCACATATCCTTGAATCAACTGAAGTGACTCATTTAAAGTTATTGATCCAGCTAAGTCTTTGACATCTAAAACCACACAAAAGTGGATAACAAATTCAGAAGCATGTTGGGCACTGCATGCTATCTGTGAGCTATTTATTTAAAACTGATGACAAGCTGGAGTAAATCTTAAAACTTTTACTAGTTATGTATAGGTTTTAATGTGTTTTCAGTTAAAAGAAAAAAAAAATTCCAAAATAAAAAAGTAAATGAAGAAATCTGTGAGTTTTCTATATAAATACAACAGAATCTAGCTATTCCAATGAAAGGAAATGAAATGAGGAAAATCGGCCATGGTTTTCATATATACACAGAAGTGTAAAGCAGCTGTTTGAAGAATTTCTTCTGTGTGTGGACATAAATTACTGCCATCCTATTTCTTGGGACTTAGTAACTAAATAAAGTAAAATATTTATTGCATTTGTGCGTAAGTTTTGTGCCGGCTGTTTACACTGCAGAAATTATACAAGCATTTTTTCAGACAGACTTGTCTAAATTCATTACTTCAACTCACATGCCATCACTTAGCCATATACTGAAAACTGATGAAATGTGGGAATAAATATAAACCTATAGAATGCAATTTTAACTTTCTAATGGGTTTTTGGGCAAAGGAAATCAAGAGTCTCAAATACACAAATCAAATGAGTGGATCTTGGCGTTTTCTCTGAAAATAAGAAAAAATCCTAATGGCCAGAAATGCAATTACCTATATGTTGAACTACGTAACGTTTTGTATAGACAGAAAGGTATAATGCAGCATATGAAAGGTTTCTTCTACGTATGGGGTTAAATTATGTCACGTTCTGTATTGAGACTAGGTAAGTACATACAATAAAATGTGTTCTGCATTTTTCAGCAAATTTTTGGTCAATTTTTTGAATTGCAAGACAGAAGGAGAAAGAGAAACAGTCATTTAGGCCTTTAATCTCTTTGAAACTGGTATAAATTCATAAAAATCTCAACCTCTGCATTCCAATCTACGGAACACCCCCGGGACAAACGAGAACTGTGCCCTCATTTAGCTAACTCTAGAAGGACTATCTCTGCAGTCTCAAGACGAAAGGCAGAGCAGTTCAATCCCTGAGCACATTTCAGATCTGCTCTAAATTAGAATCCCGGGGACTGTGTGTTCTGACCAGGTGCGGGTCTGGAAAATGACTCCACAGAATCTTGATAGCGAGACTGTTTCCAGCTTACCAGATACTCGCCTGTTGTTAAAGCTGGATGCTAATCCACAGTGCTTGGCCGTGTCTGTGATTACCCAACACAAGCAGAATCTGCTCTGACGGTACATAAAATCTGGTTATGGCTACACCTTTCAGCACTCTTGGATAAAAACAGTTCAGTTATCTTCAAAACTGTGCCTGCAAAACTGTGAAACAGACAGAATGGCACGTTTGGTGAGAAAAAAAAAAATCTGTGCCTGGCACATGGCCAGAGGTTCACTGAGCACCAGTTCATAAGGAGAAAATGGACTCTGGCCGATGACTGTAAGGGAGGCTGTGAAAGCAGGATACCTTTTGCCAAACTACGCTTCTCTATGGGGACATGTGCCTTAAAATGAGTAAGCTTTAAAAATACCAATTTCAACAGTCAACGAGAGAGAAATGTCCATTTGCACCAGAATGCGCATAGTCACGACACCGCATGACGTATAAAAGCAGTACAGCTGTCTCTAAGCAAAACTTCCTCCTCCTCCAATTCAGGAGCATAAATATTGTATCCTTAGCTTTAGAAACTAAATTCCCTTTGGAAATTTTTCTGAGCAAAAATTATGGATATTGTGGGTATTCTTGCTCAAAAATGTCAATAATATAAGTACATAATATAAGTATAAACAGAGGGTCTCATGCACCTCTTGTGTTTGGTAGCTCTTCCTACAGACAGAAGTGTTTCTTATCCCCAGATACAGGACCAAGTTCATTTCTCCCGTGAAGTCAAATACTAGAAACGATGAAAGTTCCATATTCTGGATTAGCCTTCCTTCTGGAAGGATCACCTCCCGTTTCCTTGACTTTTTCAAGGAACCAGCGTAAGAAAGCTTCAGCTCAAATGGTTAACCAGCTCCTCTTCCAATGTTCATGCTGATGATACCGGAGACACCACAGCTTGGGGCCCAGAAACATCAAGAGGATTACAGGAACCAATATGTCAAACGCAATCTTTTTCCCCTACCAATGTCACATCCATTTCTGAGAGTACTTCAAAAACTTGACTGGGGTTTAATCACCCATTCAGCTTGAGGATTTACATGATATACATCCAATATATAAGCATCTGGATCCAAGCAATGCTGTCCTAAAAGAAAGAGAAAATCGGAGAGTATTTTCAAGAGTGCATGCTTCTCTGTGTGTGTTTATAAGGTTCAAATAAGGCCAATATAGTTTTCTCAGCAAAAGCAAGTAGATACATTTCAAAGTTTCTTAGCAAAGCCTTTTTTTTTTTGGAAGATTGCAAAATACTTCAAATAAATTCCATGTGAAACTGCGGAAAGACATACAATCTACAGACAAACTGCTCCTAGCTTCAGCTAATATGGCAAGAACTTGGTTCTGGTATAAACTGATCGTTTGTACAATAATAGATGTCATCTTATGGTTTTATAGATAGAAAATGGACCAGGAATAGAGAAGATTCAATCAAGTTCACATTAGGCATAGTCATTTCTTTTATTTACTATGGATGTAGTGCCCATAGGCAAGAGATCTGGAAAGTATAAGATGATCATTCCATGGGGCAAGTATGGAATTCGACTATCTTTAGGCACAGTGCATTCGAGATGCATACTAAAGCTTCACACAAAACTACGAAGATTTGCTTGCTTGCTTGATTCATCCATTCATTCATCAAATATTTACTGAGAATTATTGTTCTAGGCACTATTCTACGGACTGGGGATACAGAAATGCCTCAGGAAGTCAAGCGTACTTGCCCTCAGGGAGCTTACATTTTAAAAGTGGCAAAAGAAAATCACAAATAAACAAGTATAACATAAAATAAGTCAGACAGTGATCAGAACACAGAGAAAAACAAATCAGGGAAGGCACACAGGCCGTGTGGGTTCAGGGCTCAAATTCAAAAGACAGAGATCAAGGAAGGCTCCACTGAGGTGACACGCGGTGAAACCTGTGGGAGCTGGAACTCGACGGGACTGCTTTTCCGGGGTCTCACCCGTTTTCTGCCTTTGACAGGGTACAGTCTTACCACTTTTCTATCCCTCTCTATTAGTGGAAAATAGATATTTGTATTTTCCTTCTCTGACAGGTTTCCACCTTACACAGGTTCCAGCTTTCACAGTTTTACTGTATTAGCAAAGACCGAGAGGGGTAGGGGAATAAGTCAGGATATCTGAGGGGAGGGCACTCTGGGGAAAGGAAGAGCCAAGGCAAAGGCCCTGAGATAAAGCTGTGCCTGGTGATTGGACACACGACTCGGTGTTCAGCGGGGAAGTCTGAGACACAATCCTGAGAGGCCTCAGCATGCACGTGGATTTAGAACCACGAGATCACCTGAGCTCACGGATAAAGTACAGATAGAGGAGAGTTCCAAGGACGGAGCCCTACAACTCTGCAACATTAACAGGTTTACAGGATAAGAAGTGACTGGCAAAAGAGACTCAGAAGCAGCAGCCAGTGAAGTGGGAGGAATGTTTTTAAAAGAAAGGAAAGATCAACTCAGTCAAGGAACACAACACCTGAGAAGGAACGACTGGATTTTACAACCTAAGAGTTCTCCGGCGACCTTGACAAGACAGTTAAGGTGGTGTGGTGGGGTGAAGCCCGCCTGAGGCGGATTCAAGAGGGAATGGGAGGAAGACATTGGACTACGGACAACTTCTTCAAGGAGTTTTTGCTGTAAAACGGAACAGAGAAATGGGATTAAACTTAAAGTCAAGAGAGAACTTTGTAAATATGAGAGACACTGCCATAAGTTTTCATGCAGATGGAAGTGATCTCTTTGAGAGGGGAGAGCTGACGATGCAGGATAGAGTGGGGGTTCCTGCAGCCATGTCCCGGGGAGGCAAGAGTTCTGTCAGGAAAGGCCAGTGGAGGGGCTGCCCCTAAAAGGGAGCGGGGATAACTCCTCCACACCAGGAGGAGGGCGGGCAGGCAGAGCGGAAGGGCACGGAGGCAAGTAAAGGGAGACTGCGGCCTTTTTCTTTTGATGCCACCCCCTCACCCCCGGGAAAACATGAAGAGTGACCTTTGAGAGTGAAAATAGGGAAGTTAAACAAAAAGGGTCTCATTTTCTGAAAGTTCTCTTGATGTTCTCCCCCTTACTGGTCTGGAAGAGTCCCAGAAAGAGACTTTCCAACTTTAAGAAACCCAGAAGCCTACTCCACATGGAAACTAAAATATTCTCATTAAAATTTTAAAAATATTCTAGAAAGATCACGCAATTGTTCTTAGATGAGATTTAAAAGTCAGAAACTTACTGATTTTAAATTTTATCAAAGAAACTTATAAAATACACTTTTACAATAAAGTAACATGTTTCTTTTAGAGTGATCAGAGAATTTGCAGTAAAAATTATTAAAGAACACTTACCTATATTTCCTCCAATTTCATATAACCGTTGGTTCTGGATCTTAACGCATTCTGATGAACCACGGCTAAAATAAGAGAGCAAATACAATTTTTAACCCTCTTTTATGATCTGAGGTAAATCTGTGGATTAAATAACTATAGCAACAAAAAATTCATTTTGCTTTAGGTACGCCCCCCAAATCCTGACTATGATGGAAATTGTGATAGGTTTTTTTTTTCTTTTTATGTTTGACACAGACAAAAGGCTCAGGTCCAGAGAGAATGGAACCATTCCAAAGCCAAGGTGGGATGCTGCAGCGCTCTGCAGCAGCAGATCCGCTCCACTCACCACTGCCAGCTCTGCTTTAGAGGCGCAGCTAACACACCACGGCTGGCCAAGCAGCAGCTGGATGTTTAACACTGCCTTGTCGTCTGTCCCACTGCTCTCAGTTCAAAAGAAGTCGGGTTTCATGTCTGTATTTGCAAGCAACTGAATGGAATCCCCTCCACAGCCCAAGTCACAATTCTAACCTGGCCTAATGTCTTGCAAACTGTCTAAGGCTGACTTCATTGCATATCTCTGCCCTCTAATAAAAGCAAGTCAGAGAAAATAATTTCCCAATTTAATGTTTCCACCCTGGACTAGAATGCCGGGCTGGAAGATTCTGAAAGAGCACTGCTGATCTCCAGCCTAGCTCGGGACTAACTTACAGTTGGTCACTCCAAAAAGATTGTGCTCAGCTCTCTACCGTGAGGAAGACTTATGTCCCCCCGCCCCGATTTTTTATGATTAATCAAACTTTTTGAGATAATTGTAGATACACATGTAGTTGTAAGAAATGACTCAGAAAGATCCTGTATACCCTTAACTCTACTTCCCCCAACGGTAACATCTTGTAAAACTCTAGTGCAGTATCAACCAAGATGTTGACACTGTTTGTTTTAGTCAAGATACAGAACATTTCCATCCTGTTCCTCTTTCCACATCCACCTCGCTCTCCCCACCCACCCTGACCCCCATATAAACGGATCACATTAAGGATGACATCTAAACGGAAACATACAGTAGGAAATCTTTTTGTATTGGCTTTTTTTTCCACTCAGCCTAATTCCCTGGAGATTCATCCACGTTGTTGCATGTATCAATAGTTCATCCCTGAGTATTTATTCTAGCATATGGATATACCACAGTTTAACTATTAACTGTTGATGGACATCTGGGTTGTGGCCAGTTTTGGGCTATTACAAATGAAGTTGCTACAAGCATTTGTATACGGGTTTTTATGTGAACAGTCTTCAGTTCTTTGAGGTAAAGGCCCAGGAGTATGATTGCTGGGTCATATGGTAGCTGTGTATTTAGTTTTATAGGAAACTGCTGAACTGTCTGTACCATTTTACATTCCCATCAGCAATGAATGGGTGACAGTTTCTCCTCATCCTTGCCAGCATTTGATGTTGTCACTATTTTTTATTTCGTCATTCTGAAGGTGTGTACTGATAGCTCATTGTGGTTTTAATTCACATTTTCCTAACGGTTAATAATGCTGAACATCTTTTCATATGCCATCTGCACATCCTCTTTGGTGAAATATCTAGTCATGTCTTTTGCCCATTTTCAAATTGGATTTTTATTTTCACCATTAATTTTTGAGCGTTTTTTAAATATTAGAGATCTAGTCCCTCGTCAGATGTGTAGTTTGCAAATATTTTCTCCCAGTCTGCAGCTAGTTCTTTTATTCTCTTCATTGGGTCTTTCACAAAGTGAACATGTTCAATTTTGGTAACATCTAATTTAGCAGTTTTTTATCTTCTATTGATCATGATTTTGGTGTCAAATCTAGGAAATCTTCACTAGTGCTAGATATATTTTTTTTTTCTAAAATTTTATAGTTCTAGGTTTTACATTTAAATCTGTGATCCGTTTTTCAAAACTCCCCTTCTCCTCCTTTCCCCAGCCCTGGTAACCACTCATCTTCGTTTGCCTCAGTAGATCTGCCTGTTCTAGATACTTCCTAAAAGCAGAATCATACACTATTTGTCCTTTGTCTCGCACATTTTTCACTTAGCATAATGTTTTCAAAATTCATCCATGTGGCGGCATGTACCAGAACTTCATTTCTCTTCATAGCTGAATAATACTCCACTGTATGTATATACCACATTTTTCCACTCATTTGTGGATGGATATGAGTTGTTTCCACCTTTAGGCTATGCTGAATAATGCTGCAGTGAACATTGGTGTATATGTGTCTGTTTGAGTCACTGCTTCCAATTCTCTGGAGTATATACCTAGGAGTGCAATTGCTAGACCATATTGCAATTCTATATTTAACTCTTTTTAGGACCTGCCAAACTGTTTTCCACAGCAGCTGCACCATTTTACATTCCCATCAGCAATGCAAAAGTGTGCCAATCTCTCCACATCCTTGCAATATTTATTATCGCCCCCCCCCCGCCCCCCGTTTTTAAAAAAATAGTAGCCATCCTGGTGGGTATAAAGTAGTATGTCACATGGTTTTGATTCACATTTCCCTAATAGCTACTGATGTTGAGTATCTTTCAAGTGCTTATTGGTCATTCATATATCTTCTTTGCGGAAATGTCTAATTAAGTCCTTTTCCAATTTTTAAATTGGGCTGTTAGTCTTATTGTTGTTGAACATGGAGAGTTCTCTGTATATTCTGGATAATAAACTCTCATCTGATATATGGTTTCTGGATATTTTCTCCCATTCTATAGGCTGTCTTTTCACTTTCTTGATAATGTCCCTTGATGCACAGAAGTTTTTAATTTTGATGGTCTTATTTTTTTTCTCTTGTTGCTCATGCTTTTGGTGTCATATCTAAGAATACACTGTCTAAAAGAAAGCCCTAAGCTTTACCTCTATGTTTTCTTAGAAGAGTTTTATGGTTTTAGCTCTCACATTTAGGTCACTGGTCTATGTTAAATTAATTTTTGTATATGGTGTGAGGTAAGGGTCCAACTTAATTCTTTTGCGTGTGGAGATCCAGTTGTCCCAACACCATGTGTTGAAGAAACCATTCTCCCAGTGAATGGATTTGGCACCCCTATTGAAAATCAGTTGGCCATGTGGGTTTATTTCTGGATTCTCAATTCAGTTCCATTAGTCTAGAAATGTCTATCCTTGTACCAGTACCACACTGTTTTGATTACTGTAGCTTTGTAATAGATTTCAGAATTGGGAAGCATGATTCCTCCTACTTTGTTCTGTTTTTTTGAGATTGTTTTGGCTATTTGGGACCCCTTGCAATTCCATATGAGTTTGAAAATCAGCTTTTCCATTTCTGCAAAAAAAAAAAAAAAAAAAAAAAAATCTGTTGGAATGTCCATAGAAATTGCATTGTACCCATAGATCACTTTAGATAGAATTGTTTTCTTAACAATATTAAGTCTTCCAATCCATGAACACAAAATCTCTTTCCATTTATTTAAATGTCCTTGTATTTCTTTCAGCAGAATTTTATAGTTTATAGCGTAAAAGTCTTTAACCTCCTTGGTAAAGGAGGTAAATTAGTAAGTATTTTATTCTTTTAGATGCTATTATAAAAGGAATGGTTTTCTTAATTTCATTTTCAGATAGTTTGTTGCTGATATATGAAAACATAATGGATTTCAGTCTGCTGATTTTGGGCCCTACAACATTGTTAAATTCATTTATTAGCTCTAGTAGCTTTCTTGTGGATTCTTTGGGATTTTCTATATATAGTATCACTTCATTGTGTATAGAGATGTTTTACTTCTTTCCCAATTTATATACCTTTTATTTCTTTTTCTTGCCTAACTGCTCTGGCGAGGACTTCCAGTACAATGTTGAGTAGCAGTGGTGAAAGCAGGCATCCTTGTCATGTTCCTGATCTTTGGAGGAAAGCCTTCAGTCTTTCACATTGAATACGATGTTTGTATAGGTTTTTCATAAATGCCCTTTGTCATGTTAAGGAATTTCCCTGCTATTCCTAGTTTTCTGAGTATTTTTACCATTGTCAAACATCAGTTGGACATATTTATGTGGGTCTATTTCTAGGTTTTCTACCTTGTTCTCTCAATCTAAGTATCTATCTTTCCGCCAAAACTTGATTACTGTAGCTACATAGGAGGCCTTAATATTGACTATGGAAACCGTGGTGGAATAGTGGTTAAGAGTTATGTCTGCTAATCAAAAGGTCAGCAGTTTGAATCCACCAGGCACTCCTTGGAAACCCTATGGGGCAGTTCTACTCTGTCTGATAGGGTCACTATGTAAGTCAGAATTGACTTGACAGCAACAGGTTTGGTTTTGTTTTATTATTGACTACAGTGCTTCCTCCCACTTTTTTCTTCTTTTTAAATATTGTTTATTCTAGGGCCTTTCCATATAAATTTTAGAATAAGCTTGTGTATAATTGCAGAAGGAGCCCTGGTGGCACAATGGGTAAGCACCTGGCTGCTAACCAAAAGGCTGGTGGTTCAAACTCACCCAGTGACTCCATGGGAGAAAGACCTGGTGATCGGCTCCTGTAAAGATGGCAGCCTAGAAAACCCTAGGGGGCAGTTCTACTCTGTCACATGGGGCCACTGTGAGTCAAAATCAACTCAATGGCACCTAACAACACGTCTACAAAAAGTCTTGGGATTTCGATATGAATTGCATTAAATCTATACATCAGTTTGGTGAGAACTGATATCTTTACTATGTTGGATCTTCCAATCCATGAACATGGTATGTCTCTTCATTTATTTAGGTCTTCTTTGATTTCTTTCATCAGCATCTTGCAATTTTCAGCATAAAGATCCTGTGCATGTTTCCTGAAGTTTATACCTGAGTATTTATTTTACTTTGGAGTGATCGTAAATAGTACTGTGTTTTTAATTTGCTTCCACGTGGTCAGTTAGTATACAGAAATATGCTTAAATTTGGTGTGTTGATCCTGTATCCTGTGACCTTCCTGAACTTCCTTATTAGTTTCAGAAGTTTTTTGTTTTGTTTTGTAGATTCTATGGAATTCTGTATGTAGACAATTATGTCATCTGCAAATAGGGACAATTTGATTTCTTCCTTTACAATCTGTAGGCTTTTCATTTCTTTTTC